ACTGTCAGGGAGTTTATGCCTGCATGTCCACCTTATGATCCTTGTGTTACTGACAAGGGAGTTTAAGCCTGCATGTCCACCTCATGATCCTTCTGGTACTGACAGGGAGTTTATGCCTGCATGTCCACCTTATGATCCTTGTGTTACTGATAGGGGAGTTTAAGCCTGCATGCCCACTTCATGATCCTTCTGTTACTGTCAGGGAGTTTAAGCCTGCATGCCCACTTCATGATCCTTGTGTTACTGACAGGGAGTTTAAGCCAGCATGTCCAACTCATGATCCTTCTGTTACTGACAGGGAGGAGGATGTACCTGCCCGCCCATCAAGGCCATTCACATGTTACCAACAAGGGAGGACGATGTACTTGCATGTCCACCTCATGATCCTTCTGTTACTGACAGGGAGTTTAAGCCTGCATGTCCACCTCATGATCCTTCTGTTACTGACAGGGAGGAGGATGTACCTGCCCGCCCATCAAGGCCATTCACGTGTTACCAATAAGGGAGGAGAAGGTACCTGCATGTCTATCAAGGCCATTCACGCGATACCAACAAGGGAGCAGGAAGTACCTGTCCGCCCATCAAGGCCATCCACATGTTTCATTATTTATACATTTTAATTAACATAGAGAATGTACCTGCAGGCCCATCAATGACTTCCACATCTTACCAACAAGGGAGGAGAATGTACCTGCCCGCCTATCAAGGCCATTCACATGTTACCAACAAGGGAGGACGATGTACTTGCATGTCCACCTCATGATCCTTCTGTTACTGACAGGGAGTTTAAGCCTGCATGTCCACCTCATGATCCTTCTGGTACTGACAGGGAGTTTATGCCTGCATGTCCACCTTATGATCCTTGTGTTACTGATAGGGGAGTTTAAGCCTGCATGCCCACTTCATGATCCTTCTGTTACTGACAGGGAGTTTAAGCCTGCATGTCCACCTCATGATCCTTCTGTTACTGACAGGGAGGAGGATGTACCTGCCCGCCCATCAAGGCCATTCACATGTTACCAACAAGGGAGGACGATGTACTTGCATGTCCACCTCATGATCCTTCTGTTACTGACAGGGAGTTTAAGCCTGCATGTCCACCTCATGATCCTTCTGTTACTGACAGGGAGGAGGATGTACCTGCCCGCCCATCAAGGCCATTCACGTGTTACCAATAAGGGAGGAGAAGGTACCTGCATGTCTATCAAGGCCATTCACGCGATACCAACAAGGGAGCAGGAAGTACCTGTCCGCCCATCAAGGCCATCCACATGTTTCATTATTTATACATTTTAATTAACATAGAGAATGTACCTGCAGGCCCATCAATGACTTCCACATCTTACCAACAAGGGAGGAGAATGTACGTGCCCGCCCATCAAGGACATCCATGTATTACCAACAAGGGAGGAGAATATACCTGCACGCCCATCAATGACTTCCACATCTTACCAACAAGGCAGGGGGGTGTACCTGCACGCCTATCAAGGCCATCCACATCTTACCAACAAGGGAGGAGAATGTACCTGCCCGCCTATCAAGGCCATTCACGTGTTACCAACAAGGGAGGAGAATGTACGTGCCCGCCCATCAAGACATCCATATATTACCAACAAGGGAGGAGAATGTACCTGCCCGCCTATCAAGGCCATTCACGTGTTACCAACAAGGGAGGAGAATGTACCCGCCCGCCCATCAATGACTTCCACATCTCTCCATCAAGGGAGGGGGTTGTACCTGCACGCCTATCAAGGCCATCCACATCTTACCAACAAGGGAGGAGAATGTACGTGCCCGCCCATCAAGGACACCCATGTATTACCAACAAGGGAGGAGAATGTACCCGCCCGCCCACCAATGACTTCCACATCTCACAAACAAGGGAGGGGGGTATACCTGCACGCCTATCAAGGCCATCCACATCTTACCAACAAGGGAGGAGAATGTACGTGCCCGCCCATCAAGGACATCCATGTATTACCAACAAGGGAGGAGAATGTACCCGCCCACCCATCAATGACTTCCACATCTCACCAACAAGGGAGGGGGGTGTACCTGCACGCCTATCAAGGCCATCCACATCTTACCAACAAGGGAGGAGAATGTACGTGCCCGCCCATCAAGGACATCCATGTATTACCAACAAGGGAGGAGAATGTACGTGCCCGCCTATCAAGGCCATTCACGTGTTACCAACAAGGGAGGAGAATGTACGTGCCCGCCCATCAAGGACATCCATATATTACCAACAAGGGAGGAGAATCTACCTGCCCGCCTATCAAGGCAATTCACGTGTTACCAACAAGGGAGGAGAATGTACCCGCCCGCCCATCAATGACTTCCACATCTTACCAACAAGGGAGGGGGGTGTAACTGCACGCCTATCAAGGCCATCCACATCTTACCAACAAGGGAGGAAAATGTACGTGCCCGCCCTTCAAGGACATCCATGTATTACCAACAAGGGAGGAGAATGTACCCGCCCGCCCATCAATGACTTCCACATCTTACCAACAAGGGAGGAGGATATACCTGCCCGCCCATTAAGGCCATGTTCTATGGTTATTTGCAATCAAACATAAATTGACGTTACATACAAATTCATATTTTGATAAATGAGCCAGATGTCTCGTTTAAAGATTATTCACGGTGTGGTCGATTCTACACTACACAATGTATACCACGCACATGTGGGATCATCAGCTGTTTTTGCACTGGGAAAAATAGACCTAGATTTGTGAATGCCAAGGTTATGTCTAAAATATTGATGAACATACATCACCACCTGTCCTTGGTATAACAATTCAAGATGAAAATAGGACCATATTCGATATTGGGGATTTTTAATAAAACATAGCTATCCAGCCGCAGTAATTAAATCTGCATGCTAGATTATATATCATTATACGATCAGGAGAACTGATGATTTTTTTTACAATATCTACAGGTAGCGCATTAAGTGGATATTTTTACGATTGCTTGTCTATTTGTATGTTCGTTAATATGCATTAACATTATAAAACACTGATAAAATGATTGAAATAAAAATAATATATATATATTGCCAAAAAAAGGTATGATGTGTATTTCAAATATTTTGAACAGAATATGTGACTAATACAACTTATTTGACCCTTTACGTTGGATTCTGAACCGAAGCATCAGATAATTGTGTTATGGATCGAAGTTTAACTAGCACCAAAACAAATTTGAAGTGTCATTTTATGCCGCTTTGAGGAATATTCCATCAATGTCCAGCCTTCAGAAATTGCAACTATTGAATTGAACTCGTGCCTCGGCGCGAGAGAACGCTTGAACCGACTCGGCCACCCAATCGTCTCCACAGAAAATGGCATACACTTAGCAGAGTCTATATATGTACACACTCATATATACACAGACCGCCTCCGTGGTCTAGTGGTAGAGCGTCCGCCCGGAGAGCAGAAGGTCCGGGGTTCGATCCCCGGCCGCGTCATACCAAAAGACGTTAAAAGATGGTACTTGTTGTTACCCTGTCTGTCGCTCGGCATAAAGGGGCTAAAACAAGGACTGGTCGGCTCGGAGTCAGTATACTGTGTCTGACTGGGGTATTCATGTTAAACTGCGGCATGGTATCTCAGTGAGCTAGCACTATAAATCGGCATCAGTCCGGACTAGTACAGGCAGCCTATCAAACACACGTCGCTATATAAGTGTAATAATATTGGACGCGACGTTAAACCCAATTTCACCTCACCTCACCTCATATATACACAGACAAAGCAGTCCTTTATGCCAAGGTACAATAGCCTTGTATCTGTGTATTCGCACATAATCAGAATATTAACTTTATTCCTGTTGATAAAGGAATATAAAATCATAACAATATTTTAATTTTAGTCACATTCACATTGACCTTCACACTGATGGCGCTGACAAACCTAAAAACATATTCGGGGCGAACCGGGATTCGAACCCACAATCATAGGGCTTCTGACGTGCCCAAGGGACGCAACTCTGCACAGCGAATCGCGGCGCCTTAGACGAGTCGGCCACCCGTGCCCCCGGTCAGCCGTGAATACTTCATGGAAAAGAACGGTAAGAAGAAACTGAAAGCGTATTCGTTCCATGTTTAAATCTGTTTCTGTGTAACTGAATCACACAGTATCTCCAAGGGGCGGTCGGGTAGCCTCGTGGGTTAAAGCGTTCGCTCGTCACGCCGAAGACCCGGGTTCGATTCCCAACATGGGTACAATGTGTGAAGTCCATTTCTGGTGTCCCCCGCCGTGATATTGCTGGAATATTGATAAAAGCGGCATAAAACCTTACTCACCCACTCACTCACTCACAGTATCTCCAAGTTAAAGGGTTGGTTCCTCAATTTGTCAGTTTTCCTTCGCCACCAGAGGTGATGAGGTAGCCTGGTAGTTGACAGGTCTTCTCATAGCAGTTTGTTTGTTCGTCGTTCAACGATATGCCAAGTTATGTGACGGAGGCTTGTACATAACAAATATCAAACTCTGGATTGCCTGGTCCAGGCTCCATTATACAGACCGCCGTCATATAGCTAGAATATTGCTGAGTGCGGCGTTAAACATCAAACAAATTGAACGTCTAGACATGTTGTTCATAGCCATTTAATAGCATATCATGAGATAAAGGATCACATTTAAATGAATCGTTCTCTTAGGTTCTGTCAGTAAACGTTATAAATGAGCAGTATTATATTATCAGTCAAATAGTTAAACAATATATTGCATTCTGTCTGATCCACTAATATATGGTCATGTTATGTTCTGTCAGTAAAATTTATAATAGAGCAGGTGTTGTCAGTCAGATAGTTTAACAATATATTGCATTCTGTTCCATCCACTAATATATCATCCTCTTATGTTCTGTCAGTAAAAATTATAATAGAGCAGGTGTTATCAGTCAGGTACTCAGCCTAGCTAAACAATATATTGCACTCTGTCTGCCCCACGAATATAGCGTAAACGTTACCTTAAAATGTTTCACGTTACCTTGGAAACTATGGAATGTTGTGGAAACTCCATTGTCATCCAAAGGTGCTGCCTCGTCGACAGTTCCTCTCTGTTGACGAAGGGGTGTTCGTTCAGGGACTTCTCTATCACGTCAATCACAGCCTTGGCTTTAAGTGTCGTTGTATACATCTTCCAGCAGCACTCCGATATCAACGATTCGTCAATCTGCCAAAAATCCAGTTCAGTTTTCACAGTAAAACTGCAAACATTTTTAGGAAGATGCAGTTCCCCTGTGCGGTAGAGGTCGAAAATTGACAGCATCACTTTTGGGTTTCTGTCGAAAAAGTACTCGTTTTCTTCGGGGTTGTATTCCGGCCATTTCTCGGTCAAACGTCCAAGCTTTGTCTGTGGAAACCGTAGCAAAACGCTTTTTCGGATTGTGAATTTTTTCCCCGATACGTTTATGTTCACTGTATCCATCGCTGATCAACAAAGGTTGGATGAGTCATAGATTACATGCTTATTGAACATCCGCATTGAACATACAGGCGCTTCAACGTGTTTTGAGTCTAGAACTTATGTGCGATGATGTACAACGATAAGCTTCTGTTACGTGTTCATTAACATCAGAGCGCAGCACTGTTCTTCCAACCTTTCCCAAGTCTGAAAAGATTTCGATGGTCTGAGAAACCGATCCAAATATGCCATCTAGGCTACAAGAACCTCCCACCGTATATAACTGTAGTCAGCGCTACATAGTTAATTGCACAAATGATTGATTGTTCAAGAAAATGAGGAATCAATTAAATGCTCCACATGTTGGCAAATGATTAGTTTAAGTGTGTCGATACTTGCCACAGTCCTTGCGCCTGAAAGGAACGAAAATAAACATTAGGGTCTAACATCAATGAGAGTTGATATTTGAACAATATTGTATGTACATAAACGTTCTTGTTAACAACGGCGTGGTAGTGGGAAAATGCGATTTAAATATGTTAGGGGTATTGCAGCTGTTTTGCGTAAACAACAGCGTTTTTTTCTACACAGTGAAATCCCAGTAAGTACGAATTTTTTAATGAAGAAACCTCACACTCCAAATAATATTGTTGAGAACATATATTTATTTACAAAGATATATTACTCAGTAATGATGAGTCAGGAATCAGGAAGTTTTGTTCTTCTTCATATATATTTTATGTTTTTATCAGTAATTTCAATAATCTGGAAATAGGTTAATACGAAATGTTTCTTCTTCACATTTTTTCTGCTTCTTTTTATTACATACGTTATTTTTTAATCAGTATTTTTAATAATCTGGACATTAGCTACTACGAAATATTTCTACTTCCTTGTCTTATTGTTACAATATTTTTTAATCGGTAACTTCAATACTGAAATATATACGATTATGTTCCATTAATTTGTATGTATAGAACTTAAGTTGCGCATAACATCATTGATAAGGTTTATTTTAAACTGACGAAAAGCACTGTGTTAGCTTCAAAATAAAGGACAAAGGTAAATATCGTTGTTTAATTTCGGCACAAGAAATCATCAACATATTTTTCGAAATGACCCTTTTCGTGAACAACTGGTGTCATCACTTCGTGTCAGTGTTCCCTTCATATTATGTTCTCCCCTATTTTGCTTTTAATGCGCAATGGAATCAGTTTCGGTGGATAATTGAGACTGGCGTTGACGTGTTATATTTACTTTATTTTTTGAAATGTTCAATTTTTCTTAATATTCTTGCATAATTTTCAAAATTTGTATTCTTTTTCTTGAAACCAAAACCTTACCTTTCACTTCTACTTTGTCTGGAAATTCTTTCATATAGCGCACGTGTCTGCAAAGAAAGATGATCAGGTAGAATTGATGCCGTGATCGTTTGAAAGAAAAAAAAGCATTAACTAAAGACAAAACCTAAATGGATACAGGTACATCTGTTACGAAATAAAGCATTACTGAAAAAAAGATTTCATTTAAGTTAATTAAGCAACGGTTTTACCTCACTGCGTACATGTTAGTAGGACACATTTGATCCACACAAAATATGTTAAAAAATGTTGATTAACCATGGTAAGCGCGATCCATCAGAGTGATTTTGGCATTAATCAATTTATACTGACGGAAAAAAAGTAACTGTGTTTAATATAAAGTTCAATAGAAATTTTTTTTATTCCGAAATAAAATAAAACATCTTTCATTACATATTCATGAAGATACCTCCTCGACTCTAAGGTCGTGATTCACAGTTTACACGTGTATCTTAATGCACGGCGCACAATTTGAATGTTTGTGTCTTTGTTGGGGGCATGATACTCACACACGTATCTTAAAATGTGAAATCACACAATGATTGTTAAGCTATCAGGTCCTAATAAAATACGTTTGTTTGTCCGGAAAAAAACGTTTACACAACACCACGGGTAGATGTAAAATCAACGTCTGCGCGCCGTGGGTATGCTGCAGGAAGAGAAATAGCGCAAAAAGAAATTGCCAGACATTTTTTATGTTCATCGAAGCATCTGAGGCTTCGGAAGATAAGACTGACAGTATACTGTTTCATATGTTTCACCTAGACAGCTCTGATAGTCTTGCAAGGGTCTACAGGCTTCACTTGAACAGCTCTGGTAGTCTTGCAAGGGTCTACAGGTTTCATTTGGACAGCTCTGGTAGTCTTGCAAGGTTCTACAGGCTTCACCTGGACAGCTCTGGTAGTCTTGCAAGGGTCTACAGGTTTCATTTGGACAGCTCTAATAGTCTTGCAAGGGTCTACAGGCTCCACCTGGACAGCTCTAATAGTCTTGCAAGGGTCTAAAGGCTCCACCTGGACAGCTCTAATAGTCTTGCAAGGGTCTACAGGCTTCACCTGGACAGCTCTAATAGTCTTGCAAGGGTCTACAGGCTCCACCTGGACAGCTCTAATAGTCTTGCAAGGGTCTACAGGCTTCACCTGGTCAGCTCTGGTAGTCTTGCAAGGGTCTACAGGCTCCACCTGGACAGCTCTAATAGTCTTGCAAGGGTCTACAGGCTTCACCTGGTCAGCTCTGGTAGTCTTGCAAGGGTCTACAGGCTCCACCTGGACAGCTCTAATAGTCTTGCAAGGGTCTACAGGCTCCACCTGGACAGCTCTAATAGTCTTGCAAGGGTCTACAGGCTTCACTTGGGCAGCTCTAATAGTCTTGCAAGGGTCTACGGGCATCATTTGGACAGCTCTAATAGTCTTGCAAGGGTCTACAGGCTCCACCTGGACAGCTCTAATAGTCTTGCAAGGGTCTACGGGCATCACTTGGACAGCTCTAATAGTCTTGCAAGGGTCTACAGGCTCCACCTGGACAGCTCTAATAGTCTTGCAAGGGTCTACAGGCTTCACCTGGACAGCTCTGATAGTCTTGCAATGGTCTACAGGCTTAACTTGGACAGCTCTTGTAGTCTTGCAATGGTCTACAGGCTTAACTTGGAAAGCTCTGGTAGTCTTGCAAGGGCCTGCAGGCGTCCAGCGAACGATTTGGCGACACTTGCGTTACCCAACGTTGAGTGGAAGTGTAATGGTATGGGTTAACATCACAACTCATGGGAAAACACATCTGACTGCAAATGACAGTTTGAATGGCGTACGCTGACGGGGCGACATCGTTCGTGATCATGTTCTTCTCTTTGTGCAAATGCATTGACGTGAAGTCACTTTGCAGCAGGATAATGCCCGCCCACATGGTGCACGTGTTGTAACAGACTTTTTGAGGCAGTGTACCATTGTTGCACTATCATGGTCGACTGTTTCTCTAAACCTCTCCCCCTAGAACACGTCAGGGATGAGATGGAAGCGCTGCCACGACAGGCGTCGAAACCAGCCGGTAAAGCTAACTTAATTTGACCAAGCTTTGGTTGACATTTTCAATCATCTCATGTTTTCAATGCGCCGCCGCTGCCTCACTTGTTTATATGCAAATGGTGGTCACAACCGATATTGATATTCATAATTGAGTTGTTATTCCACCCCTTTTTTAGGGCGTGTTGCTCTGGCTCCTGTTACCAGGTAGAGGTTCCGTAATTGAATTTGTAATGATAAATCAAACGAACGACCAAATATTATGTTGGTGACGCAGAATTATTTTTTTTCATTAGTATACGTATTTATATAGGGCGCCATCGACCACTTTTTAGTTTTTGTTAGCGTCACTAGCTTTGTATACACAGAACTATTAGTTGTGTAGAGTGCAGATAGGGAATAAACTGTGACGTGTTTCGGACACGTGTTACTGTAGGCCTTTCAGGCATTGGGGTTCGCTCAGCGTTTTTTATATCTGAAACTTACATTGTTATGGACATTGACGCATCGCGTTTTCGGTATGTCGAGACAGTGCTTGTGTGGTTAATAGACAGCAGTTTCAAGCTACTTCGTCCTGAACTATCGGGTTTACAGGGTTCGAGTAAACGAGATTTTTACTGCATGCACAATCAAAGCGACACAACCCTTTCCTGAATCATAAGTCATTTCTGCTAAAGGGACCGCCTCCGTGGTCTAGTGGTAGAGCGTCCGCCCGGAGAGCGAAGGTCTGGGGTTCGATCGGCCGCGTCATACCAAAAGACGTTAAAAGATGGTACTTGTTGTTACCCTGTCTGACGCTCGGCATTAAGGGGCTGAAACAAGGACTTGTCGGCTCGGAGTCAGTATACTGTGTCTGAGTGGGGTTTTCATGTTAAACTGCGGCATGGTATCTCAGTGAGCTAGCACTATAAATCGGCATCAGTCCGGACTAGTACAAGCAGCCACACAAACACAAACACGTACATGCACGTCGCTATATACGTGCAATAATCTTGGACGCGATGTTAAACCCTATTTCACCCCCACCTCACCTCTGCTAAACACAGTGTCCATTGTACGATTCCGACTGTCATGACCATGTGTTGATGAGTGTGTGAGTTAAAATTCAACGTCGTATCGGCATTATTTCAGCACTATAGCGAGGCATGTGTTAATGAATCACCATCAAATAGTGATAGTACCAGGTGTTCGCGAAAATGTGATCGTATCCAAACCCATCGGCATTTGCTTTCATTTTTGACATCGTCCCGATCATTGAAAATAGTGATTTAACCATGACCCAGGAATGAAGGAATTACGTTTGAACTAACTTTGCCGTGTGGGATAGTGGTGCATACAGTGGTTGGTTCTTGGTTCTTTTTATGAGCTTGCAAAATGTTTTGAAAATCCACATGGCATTATTTCCCCATAACTACTTTCTATGAACGCGAAGAAAGCCCCGCCTTGATCATTTAAAGTGTTTTTGTTTGTTTGTTTGTTTGATGTTTTACGCCGCACTCAGCAATATTCCAGCTATATGACGGCGGTCGGTAAATAATCGAGTCTGGACCAGACAATCCAGTGATTGACATAATGAGCATCGACCTACGCAATTGTCATTTTAAGGAGTTTGCTTAATCTGTTAGACAGGGATTTAGTGACACATGTGGTAGACCTAGAAATATATTTCTTTTATTTTGATTTTTATGGAAATTCAGTGCAGAGAAAGAATGAACATATATTTAGGTCAAAGAGTCAAGCTAAATGTTGATCGTACTATGCGTGGTTTGGGCAGATTGAACCTTCATCCTTATCAGTTAATAAATCAATTCCATTTACCATCCTTTGCCTCACAAAAAGGTACATTGAAGCGATGTGGCAAATTATAGTTGTATATGATACTTTAAATGTATCATTCATGCATCATTTGAATCATTTAAAAAAATAAATTGAATAAATTCAATTACAACATAAGTGTATTAGAGATAGCCTGTTTAGTATGACTGGCGAAACGTCATGAATGTTACTACATTGTGAAATTATATACAACGATGAAACCAGGTGTTCGCTAATAATGAGGTAGGTTTCACACGACCAATGATGTAACATACAATTTATCATCTTCAACAGGACGCCTCAAATGGTTCTTCTTTTACCCACTCAGGGGACGACCATTTAATAATTGAAGGAGAAGGGAGGGAAGAGTACTGGAACTGTCACACGATCAGTGAAGTAACATACAAGATATCATTATAAACAGGGGACTTAAAATGATTCTTTTACCCACTCAGGGGACGACCATTTAATAATTGAAGGAGAAGGGAGGGAAGATTACTGGAACTGTCACACGATCAGTGAAGTAACATACAAGATATCATTATAAACAGGGGACTTTAAATGATTCTTCTTTTACCCACTCAGGGGACGACCATTTAATAATTGAAGGAGAAGGGAGGGAAGATTACTGGAACTGTCACACGATCAGTGAAGTAACATACAAAATATCATCATAAACAGGGGACTTTAAATGATTCTTCTTTTACCCACTCAGGGGACGACCATTTAATAATTGAAGGAGAAGGGAGGGAAGATTACTGGAACTGTCACACGATCAGTGAAGTAACATACAAGATATCATTATAAACAGGGGACTTTAAATGATTCTTCTTTTACCCACTCAGGGGACGACCATTTAATAATTGAAGGAGAAGGGAGGGAAGATTACTGGAACTGTCACACGATCAGTGAAGTAACATACAAAATATCATCATATACAGGGGACTTTAAATGATTCTTCTTTTACCCACTCAGGGGACGACCATTTAATAATTGAAGGAGAAGGGAGGGAAGATTACTGGAACTGTCACACGATCAGTGAAGTAACATACAAAATATCATCATAAACAGGGGACTTTAAATGATTCTTCTTTTACCCACTCAGGGGACGACCATTTAATAATTGAGGGAGAAGGGAGGGAAGATTACTGGAACTGTCACACGATCAGTGAAGTAACATACAAAATATCATCATAAAC